GGCTGTGTGCATTTGTGCAGAGGAGGTTCAGCCCGGCACATTCACTCAGCGCACACAAATCCCTCATTTGCTGCCGCATGTTTGCCTGGCAGGAGCTGCTGAGTGCTGAAAGGAGGCAGTGCAGAGGATGTTTGTCCACTCCCACAGGCTGTCTGCCACCTGGACTGACCCTTACTCTGTGACAAAGTGCGACTTGTGCAAAGCCACACGGCGTCACCGCGTCCCAACCCCATCCATCACATGGATATAAACAAAAGGAAAGCAAAGGACCTCAAGCAGCCAGGAGGGAGGGAGGGAGGGCAGCAGCGGGTCCGGCTCCAACCTCTGTGCTGCCCACATTGGCACTGCTGGAGCCTCAGAACAGAAGGGGGGGGTCTTAGCTGCATCCATGCATTTCGCTACCAATCCAGAGCCGGTGGAATGCTCTGCAGAGGACTGCATGTGAACCAACTCTGAAAGGGGCTCACAGATCCATCAAACTGGGTCAGTTTAAATGCAGGGTGCACCCATGTGGTACCGAATCACAGAATGGCAGGGGGAGGTGGGATGGACCTCCAGGGGTCACCTGCTCCAGGCCCCAGCTGAAGGGTGGGCACAGTTATTGTACATTAAACAGCACCAGGAGTTCCTGCCCACTGCTCCATCAGGACCACCACTATGTGAAGCTGCTTTCAGATCCCCACACTCCTCCATTCAAACCGCAGCTGAAAGCACAGTGGTGCAGTTCCAACCCAGGTCCTTGGGGCAGCAGTGTCTGAAATGTCCGACTAACGCAGTCCTGAGACAGGCAGGACAAGCAGGATATGAAAAGCATGCAGCTAATGCTTGAATGTGGACAGGCAAGACAAATGGAGGTTCCACTGTGTGTTTGAGTGGTGAGGTGCTGGAACAGCTGCCCAGAGAGGCTGTGGATGCCCCGTCCATCCCTGGAGGTGTTGGAGGCCAGGTTGGATGGGGCCCTGGGCAGCCTGGGCTGCTGTGAAATGTGGAGGTTGGTGGCCCTGCCTGTGGTGGGGGTTGGAGCTTCATCATCCTTGAGGTCCCTTTCAGCCTTGGCCATTCTGTGATTCTATGATTCTATGATTTTTCCAGGAGGAAAAGGGATATCATAGAAAGAAGCTTAAAAGACATAAGAGTGGAGAGGGCACTGAGGATAAGGGGTGAAGAAAAGGCGATGGATGTGGGTGTGCTGTGCAGTGATGGGCACTGATGGCCCTGGGGAGGATCACTGCAGCGGAGCATCCACTGATCCAGTGCCAGCTCTGCTCCCATCTGAGCATTGGATCCGTCCCACAACGTGCCCAAGGAAGTCACAGTGCCACGCTGGGAACGCTGCACTCAAAAATCTGGGGTTGGAATGCAGGACCTCAGCAATCCATGCTGGCGGAGGGGATTTGCATTCCTCAAAGGATTTCCAGGATTTGTGCAGGAGCCACCTGTGCACGGGGAGCGCTGCGGCTCTGGGGTGCAGCCAGCGTGAGTGCAAACCACAGCCGAGCTCAACCAAGGCCTCGTGTTGATGGAAAGTGTTTCCTCCCCAGAAAACAGCAGGCAGCAGAAAGCAGAGCCCTGGGCAGACCCACAGATCCCTGATCCCATCTGTGCCCCTTTCTGGTGGCTCATCCCAAGGGGAAGAGTGGGGGCCATGCAGCTATTGCCCCATTGCAGACCTGCAGCTTCTGGCACTGTGCAGCTCGGGACACTCCTGAGCCAAAGGCTGCATCTGCATCCCACTGTTTAATGGCCTTCAATCAATTTCCCTCCCACAAATTTGCCTAATGGCTTTGAAAATCATTTTCTACTTTGGCTGCCATAAACACCCGATGGCGATGAATTCCACAGCGCTGTCCCAAAGAAGCGCTATAAAAAATTACTGCCCTCGTGTGCTGTAAAACCTTTCTATCAGGCATCCCAAATACTGATTCTGTGTGGCTGTGGGTTCCCACTGCTGTGTGCTGCCATCATTCTGCACATCCCAGCTCAGCTGCTTTCTCAGCTTTCAGCTCTGCTTTGTGCCCGGGCTCTGCTGCCCTTCCTGTGTGTTGAAAGCCTCTGCAGCTCTTTGCAGCTTCAGAGCTGAGTGTGCCCACACTTGGTGGCACCTCCAAGTGCTGCCAGCTCCGCTCGTCCCTCTTGCATGATCTGTGAGCACTGCACAGAGGTGCCAGCTGCCATCTGCACCGCAGCCAACGTTCCAGCAATGAGATGTTTGCTCTCCTCCAAACCTACTGGGCAAATGTTTCACTCCAGCAATTTGTCACCATTTCTGTTATGGATTTGTTATATAATTCTCATCATTTGCCACCACATTTGGAGGCTGCTCCTCCAACTTTCCTTGCACAAGGGCTCCATCTGTGACTTCTCTGTAGTCAATGCCACACTTCGCTGTTTTCTTATAGCCCTATCTCTCCAGTGACCCCACTGAGACTCCCTCAGCTCTTCACACCCTCTGTTGAGGTTCTTCCCTTCCACGTTTTTGAGCACTGCTTTTTATCTTCAGCTCACGCTTGGCCTGTGCTGGGATTGAACTCCCACCTGCTGAGAGCAGCTCCTGGAGGCAGGAGGTGCTCCCCAGCACAGGGTTTGCATTGAGGCTGAGAATGGGGGACGGTGGCAGCAGGAAGGCAGCATCCAAAGCCAGGTTGGTTGGGGCCTTGGGCTATAAAATGCTATTAAATGTGAGGTTGGTGGCCCTGCCTGTGGTGGGAGGTTGGAGCTTCATCATTCTTGGGGTCCCTTCCAGCCCAACCGTTCTGTGATTCTGTGTGTGATCCACAGATAAGGGCATTCACCGGAACACCGCAGGGATGCGTGGGGACGGATGCTGTAGGAAGGGCTCTGGGGCACAGTGTGTGCTGCTGTCTGTCCCCAGCCGTCTATTCCCCGTGCTTATTGCCAGCCAAACTTTTACACTCTGATAAGAAGCAATGACTTCCCTACCTACAGGGCCGGTCTGGTGTAGGATGGGGTCACCCAGGAGCTCACAGCCACAGGCACATCGATGGCAGCAATGGTGTAACTCTGGGGGGGGCACTGGAAGGTGGGTCTTCTGCAGCTGGGAGGTGATGGCACTAAGTGCCATTGGGCACATTGTGGCACAGTGTCCCTGCAGGCACCATATCATAGAATCACAGAATCCTAGCATGGCCTGGGCTGCAAAGGAGCACAGTGCTCATCAGTTCCAACCCCCTGCTGTGTGCAGGTCGCCAACCAGCAGCCCAGGCTGCCCAGAGCCACATCCAGCCTGGCCTTGGATGCCTGCAGGGATGGGGCATCCACAGCCTCCTTGGGCAACCTGTTCCAGTGCCTCACCACCCTCTGCATGAAAAACTTCCTCCTCACAGCCAACTCAAACCTCCCCTGGCTCACTTTAAAGCCATTCCCCTCGTCCCATCACCACCACCCTCACACACAGCCGTTCCCCTCCTGTTTATCCGCTCCCTCCAAGCACTGGAGGCCACCATTAGGTCTCCCTGCAGCCTTCTCTTCTCCAAGCTAAACGAGCCCAGTTCCCTCAACCTTTCCTCATAGCAGAGCTGCTCCAGCCCTCTGAGCATCTCAGTGCCCTCCTCTGGACCCACTCCAACAGCTCCCTGTCCTTCCTGTGCTGGAGACCCCAGGCCTGTGGCACTGTGTCCCTGTGGTGCTCAGTGCTCAGTTCACCCACAGCGAGGCTCCTGGCTCAGCTGTCCCGCAGGCAGCAGCACTCAGTGACACCTGGAGATGCCACAACAGCCACAGCCCCTGCTGAGAACCACAGAACAGGGCTGGGCTGCGGGGAGGGAACGTCTCCCAAAACAGCAACCAGGCAGCGGGGTGGAGCGAGCAGGGTGGGACAAATAATGAACGTGCTGAAAGGAACCAGAACGGCCAGAAAGAAAAGAAAAAAACAGCAAACGAGCCAGGAACTGACAGAGGAATGAGCACAGCTGGGAAGTTCCTTGCTTAAATGCAGCTGAGTGGTTCCTGCTGCAGTGTGAGGCCCTGCGGGGGGGTGCAGCTCTGTGCCAGCTCTGCCCCCCAGCACAGCACTGATGGGCCAGGAAGGTCCTGAGCTCCACTTTGTGCTGGCATTGGCACAGAGACCCCACTGAGAGGGGATGGGGTGGGGAGTGGTGGAGGTGGGGGCAAGGAGAGGGCTGGAAGGGATGGGGATGGATGGCACAGCGGCATGCGGCATTTCTGCAGCTTGTGTCATGCACTGGGTATGAAGGCTTGGCCACGGAGCTCTGCTTGGGATCTGCTGGGTTTTTGTTGTTGTTACTTTATTTTTTTTTTCCTTTAAATTTGGAAATTGATGAGGTGGAGACCCCATTCCTGTAGGTGCCAGAGGCTGTGGATGGAGCCCTGGGCAACCTGAGCTGGTGGGGAGCAGCCAGCCCACGGCAGGGGTTGGAGCTCAGTGCTCTTCGAGGTCCCTTCCAACCCAACCGTTCTGTGTTTCTGTCATTCTATAAGTCCCAGTGCTGCAGCCCTGCTGCAGGCTGCATGGACACAGGGTGGGATGGAGGTCGGACTTCCTCAAAGGGCAAAACACAGCATTTGGCTTCATCAGACCGATGGCTGCAGCACACCGCAGGCACACCTTTGGTACGGTCCCACACCGCACCCCTATCTCTAAGCTGGAGAGAGGTGGATGGTGGATTTGATTTCAGCTTGAGTATTGGGAAAAAGTTATTGTCCAAAAGAATGGAGATGCCACTGCACAGCTGCCCGGGGGGGGGAGGGGGGGGGAGTCCCCATCTCTGGGGGTGTTCCAGAGCCGGGGAGATGTGGCCCTTGGGGCCACACTCAGTGGGCATGGGGAAGGGCGGGGGGGGGATGTGTGGCTGCGGTTGGACGCGGGGATCTTGGAGATCTGCTCCAACCTCAACGATTCCGTGGTTCCGAGCCCCGGGGCGGGCGCTGTGCGGGGCGGCCCCTCCTCTCCCCGCGGGGCGGTCCGAGGGCGGTCCGTGTGCGGCCTCACGTCGGAGCGGGGCGGGGGTGTAAGGGGGGGGCAGAGCCCGATCGTCCAGCCCGGAGCGGAGCGGTGCGGTGCGGTGCGGTGCGGTGCAGGGATGGCGGTGCCGGAGCCCGACGCGCGTTTGGCGCAGGAGAAGGAGGAGGAGAGCGAGGAGGAGAGCGAGATCCTGGAGGAGAGCCCGTGCGGGCGGTGGCAGAAGCGCCGCGAGCAGGTGGGGGCCGGGAGCAGCCCCCGGGTGCGGGCTGCGCTGCGGGATCCGCCGGAGGGCGGTGCGGGAACGGCCCGCGGAGTGCGGGGAGGGGGGGAGCGGGGAAGGTGCGGAGAGAGCGCGGTGCGGGAGCGGGGCTCGGCGTGCCCCGGTGCGGTGAGCGCCGTGCGGTGGCTCCGGTGCGGGCCGTCCCGGTGCGTGGAGCTCCGCGTCCCGTCCCGATGGCAGCGCGGTGTGTCCGCGGGTGAACCGCGGAGGAGCACCGCTGCGGCCGCTGCCCCCGGGGCGGAGGATCCGGTTCGTCCTCTCCTGAGGAGCGCTTCGGGCTGCCGCAGCCCATCCTCCCGTCCGGGGCCCCACAGGGCGCTCACGCGGTGCCCGCCCGCGTCCCGCGGAGCTCAGGGTCGCCCTCGGACCTCTTCCCCCAGCCGTGCCCCCGTACCCGTGCGATGTGCCCTGGAAGCGGAGCCCGAATTCCCCCCTGCCCCCATCGGGGCGCTCGGGAACGGCGTCAGAGCCGGGGTAAATCCTTGCCCCGGGCGGAGGTGGGACGGCGATGGCTGAAAAGAGCCCGACCCGCAGTAATCCCCTCTGTATGTCCTGCTAACAGCCCGGTGCGGCTCCCGGCGCTCTGCCCTGCCTTTGGGCGCCCCTCGTTCTGAGTCGGGCATCAGAGAACCCATTCAGGTTGGACAAGATCCCCAAGTCCACCCTCCAACCCATATCACCACTGTGCCCGTCAACCGTGCCCCTAAACAGAAGCATCGACTTATTAAGGTTGGAGAAGTCTTCCAAGATCCCCAGTGATGCCCATCCCACCGTACCCACTGGCCGTGTCCCCATGTGCCACATCTCCATGGTTCTTGAACACCTCCAGGTACGGGGACTCCATCACTTCCCTGTCCCAGCCCACTCTGTGCTGTGCTGAGATGTGGGTCACCTTCCTGTGTTGGTGCTACCACCACCAGCACCTGCCCATCCCATGTCCCCCCCTTCCCTGCAGCACCTCCGTGCCTGTGGATTACAGTTTCCTCCCTCTCCCCACCTCCCCTGCTGCACACCAGGGACTCACAGGGCCTTTGGCTGACGCAACATCCAGCATCCCACATCTGCACCCCCAGCTTGTCCCGTGTGCTCCCAGACCAGCATTCTGCCCACGGCTCCTTTGGGATGGGGTCTGGAGATGCCCACCACCGTCACCTGAATGCTGCACCCAACGGGTGCTGAGCTCCGGCTCCGGTGCTGCGTCTCAGTGAGGTGTGGTGGACCTCAACTGGGCGGCTGAGGTGCTAAAGGTGCAGAAGAGGTGCATCTACGACTTCATAGGATTCATTCCTATGAATCCTTATGGCATCCTATGGATCCCTGTGGCAACCCTATGGGTTCTCTGGGCAGCCTGGTCTGGTGGTTGGTGACTCTGCATACACACTCATCCCCGGGGCTCACAGTGTGGAGTGGCTGCTGCAGATGCCAGGTCTTTGTGGGACAGCCTAAGGGGTGGGGAGAGGTGTTGGGAAAGCAGATTTTCAGCTGAGAGCACCATGATGCTCCTGCAGTGAGAGCTATGGGCACAAAATGACTTCTGCTGCATGAGCCGAGCAGTGGGGACACGACTGTTCCAAGCAGTGCATAATGGCTGGGATGGAATCGCAGCTGACCCGGAGGTGTGCTGTGTTTTATCAGAGCTCTGGATGATGAGCATTAATTAGTGGCCCACCAAACCCATCGGAACACCCTTGATGTCCATGGCAGAGGGATGACCTGCAGTCATTTCTCATTTGGACAACCCATGTTGTCCATGTTCCTCCTTGCTCAAGGAGGCTGTGGATGCCCAATCCCTGGAAGCATCCAAGGCCAGGCTGGTTCTGGGCAGCCTGGTCTGCTGGTTGGAGACCCTGCACACAGCAGGGGATTGGAACCAGGTGAGCACTGTGGGCCTTTGCAACCCAGGCCATTCTAGGATTCTATCATGATTCTATGATTATGGCACCCCATGTGTCCCTGTGGCATTCTATGTGATCCTTATGGCACCCTATGGATCCTTGTGCCATCCTATGAATCCTTATGGCATCCTATGGATCCCTGTGGCACCCTATGGGTTCTCTGGACAGCCTAGTCTAGTGGTTGGTGACCCTGCACACAGCAGGGGGTTGGAACTGGATGATCATTTTGGGCCATGCTAAGATTCTGTCATGATTCTATGATTATGGCACCCCATATGTCCCTGTGGCATTCTATGTGATCCCTATGTCACTCTGTGGATCCTCATGGCACCCTATGGATCCTCATGGCACCCTATGGATCCTTATGGCATCCTATGGATACCTGTGGCACCCTATGGATCCTCATAGCACCCTATGGGTTCTCTGGGCAGCCTGGTCTGGTGATTGGTGACCCTGCACACAGCAGGGGGTTGAAACTCAATGATCATTATGGTACTTTTCAACCCAGGCCATTCTAGGATTCTGTGATTCTATGTTGATGTGACCCAGTGGTGACACGTAATGATGTATATTTTAATGCCCCGAGGGCACTTTCAGGAGCAGCGCTGTCGCCAGAACTGACCCCAGAGTTTTGTCCCCTTGTCCTCTGCTGCAGCACGTGGCAGAGCTGCAAACAACTGTGGCACCATCGGTGGCACTGCCAGCAGAGCTGCATGGCAGCATCACAGAGACGTGGCAGCAGTGCCTGACGGTGCCAGCAAATGTGGGGGAAGTTCTGTGTGAGACATTATTGCGTATTCCTGGTGCTTCGGTCGTGCACCAGGAAGAAAACACGCTGATGTTTGTGGCTGCTGTTTCCTAATGCACACACACACAGCCCTTCTGTTTCACAAACATTCTGATTTCCACAAGCACAACACGCCTTGCCACCACAGGGATTCCCTCTTGCTGCCCTGATGTTTGGCTCTCATTATTTATGCTCTTTCATTTGCTTTTGCAGTACAGCCGTGGCCCTGCATGGGTCCTGCATTGCTGTTCTGGGTGCATGGTGCAGCGTGCTGAGTGCATGGTGCTGCATACTGGATGTGCAGAGGTGTGCTGGTGCTGTGCTGGGTGTACAGTGCTGTGCTGGGTGCTGGTGCTGTTCTGGTGCTATGCTGGGTGTGCAGAGGTGTGCTGGTGCTGTGCTGGGTGCGTGGTGCTATGTGCAGGATGTGCACTGCTGTGCCGGATGCACAGTGTTGTGCTGGTGCTGTGCTGGGTGCACGGTGCTTTGTTGGGTGCACAGAGCTGTGCTGGATGCATGGTGCTGTGCTGTGGATGTACAGTGCTGATCTGTTCTGATGCTGTGCTGGGTGCACGATGCTGTGCTGGGTGTGCAATGCTGTGCCGATGCTGTGCCAGGTGCACGGTGCTATGTGCTGGGTGTGCACTGCTGAGCTGGGTGCATGGTGCTGGGTGCTGGGTACTGGTGTTATGTCCTGGGTGCACAGTGCTGTGCATGGTGCTGGGTGCTGTGTACTGGCTATGCAGTGCTGTGCTGGGTGCTGGTGCTGTGCTGGGTGTGCAGTGTTGTGTTACAGGGGTGTACAGTGCTGTGCTGGCTGTGCAGTGCTGTGTACTGGATGCAGAGTGCTTATGCTGTGCTGGTGCTGTGCTGGATACATGGTGCTGTGCTGGTGCTGTGCTGTACTAGTGCTGTACTGGATGCACGGTGCCATGCTGGTGCTGTGCTGGGTGCATGTTGCTGTGCTGGGTGCACAGTGCTGTGCTTCTGCTGTGCTGGATGCATGGTGCTGTGCTGGATGCATGGTTCTGTGCTGGGTGCATGGTGCTGTGCTGGGTGCACAAAGCTGTGCTGTGCTGGATGCACGGTGCTGTGCTGTGCTGGTGCTGTGCTGGATGCATGGTTCTGTGCTGGGTGCATGGTGCTGCGCTGGATGCACAGAGCTGTGCTGCGCTGGATGCACGGTGCTGCGCTGGATGCATGGTGCTGTGCTGGGTGCACAAAGCTGTGCTGTGCTGGATGCACGGTGCTGTGCTGTGCAGTGCTGTGCTGGATGCATGGTGCTGTGCTGGATACACTGCTGTGGTGATGCTGTGCTGGATATACAGTGCTGTGCAGTGCTGTGCTGATGCTGTGCTGGATGCATGGTGCTGTGCTGGATGCGCAGTGCTGTGCAGTGCTGTGCTGGATGCACGGTGCTGTGCTGCAGTTGGGTCCAGTGGGGTGGGAGAGCCCCAGGCACCCACACAGGGCTCTGCTGCTGTGCTGCTGAGTCTGAGTGCAGGAGGAGTGCAGTGATGATGAACTCAGTACGTTGGCACCGCAGAGATGCACACAGGGCTGCACTTTGTTTTCCCCACTCCGCGGTGCTGTGCCGCTCTCCAGCTGTGCATGCAGCAGTGTGAATGCACCGCGCCAGGGAGAGAGGAACGTCACAGCTTCCTCTGCGTTCTCCTGTTGCATTTCATTATGGTGCGTGTGAAGTTATGGATGAGGAAACAGAAGCATTTGAAGTACTTTGCGACAAATGTGGAGAAGCAGCCGTGAATCCTTCCATGCCTTCGCATCAGCGCAGCTCAGCTGATGCCCCCTCACCTTCCTCCCCCTGCTCTGACAGCAGTGCTGCAATTGCAGACGTTTCCACTTCAGAAGAGTTTGTTTTCAGCATTGGTTTGGTGCCTGCATTTACTTTTTTCCACCCATCCTGAGCAGTCGAAGCAGCGGGGCCGGCAAAGCAGCGCTTTGTTTCTGCTGGAAGTTTTGCAGGGCTTTGGCAAACTCTGATACTGTGTTGCTCAAAACAAATGTTTTCGTATCCACGTGGCATTGCTTTTGCAAACACGTATCCAATGGGAAGGGGCTGCTTTCCCTGGGGTGTTTGCTGGTGCAGCTCTGCCCCACATCTCCTCCTTTGGTCACCGTTTGGTACAGCGTTAATGCCCATCAGGAAAGGGTTAATGACTGCATGGACGGAGGGCCCTGAACTCTGAGCTTTGGTTCACCTCTACGCCCAACGGGCAGGAAAAAAAAAAAAAAAGGAAAAAGAAAGAGCA